AAATAAACCAATTTAAACCCAATTTAAAAATGGGGAAAGGCAGGAGTTTGAGGTTGCTGTGAGCTAGGCTGATGCCACAGCACTCTAGCCTGGGAAACAGAGTGAGACTCTGTCTCAAAAAATAAAAATAAAAATAGGGAAAGGATCTGAATAGACATTTCTCAAAGGAAAACATACAAATGGTCAACAGTGTCAAAATGCTCAGTATTACTAATCAAGAAAATTCAAATTAAAACCACAATGAGATATCACCTCAGACCTGTTGGAATGGCTGTTATCAAAGACTAAACATAACAAACATTGGTGAGGATATGGAGAAAAGGGAACCCTCGTACATTTTTAGTGAGAATGTAAATTAGTTCAACCATTACGGAAAACAATATGGAGTTTCCTCAAAAAATTAAAAATAGAATTACCATATGATCCAGCAATCCCCCTACTGGGCATATATCCAAAGGATATGAAATCAGTACAGATGCTTCTAGACTTATGATGGGACTACATCTCAATAAGCCCATTCTAAATAAAAAATAATGTAAGTAAAAAATGGATTTCATACCTTGATAAACCTATCATAAAGTTGAAAAATCCTAGGTTGAACCATCATAAAACAAGGACTATCTGCATACTGTGGAGATGTCCGCACTCCTATGTTCATTGCAGCATTATTCACAACAGCCAAGATTTGGAATCAACCTAAGTATCCATCAATGGATGAATGGATAAAGAAATATGATGCATATACACACAATGGAATACTATTCAGCCTTAAAATACATGGAAATCCTGTCATTTGCAGCAACATGGGTGAACCTGGAGGACATTGTGTTAAGTGAAATAAGCCAAACACACAGAGACAAATATCTCACACCTCATTTATACACAGAGTGCAGAAAAGTTGAACTCATAGAAGTTGAGAGTATGTGGTGGTAAAGGGGAATGGTTGGTAGGAGAAGGGGATTGGGGAGATGTTGGTCAAATGATACAAAGTTTCAGTTAGATAGGAAGAGTAAGCTCAAGATATCTATGACACAACATGGTGACTATAGTTAATGATGCATTGTATTCTTGAAAATTACTAAGAGAATAGACTTTAAGAGTTCTCATCACAAAAATGATAAGTATGTGACGTAATTTATGTATCAATTAGCTCAAATTAGCCTTTTCACAGTGTATACATATTTCAGAACATTGTACATGACAAATATATATAATTTTTTGTTCATCAACTTAAAGAAATAGATGGCAAAAATGAAACAAACAAAAAATATAGAGCATCTGAAATAGAAGAAAATTTATAGTTAGGTAATAATTATTTTGTTAATCACAGGGCAATGGGTTGAATGTCTCCTTTCTTGCATCTCCATTAGTCCCTACTGGTCCACAGGACTCTGAAGACAATAGAATCCACAGCTGAGACACAATACAGCCTTGCTCTGTCCTATTTCCATTCTGTTATACCTCACCCTGCCTCTCTTTCCTTTTCAAGTTTCTGCTTAACAGCCCTGTCTGCATCTATTGCTGCCTCCACCCTGTGAAGGTGTCTGTGCTTCACTGAGTCCATGGCCAGCCTCTCTCTAACTCCTCCTTTTCTGTTTTGTTTCTGATTCTCTTCCCTGGTGAGGCTCTGCAACTCTCCCCCTTGTATCTGAGTTTTCCTTCCTAACTTTCTTCCTCCAGGCCAGTTGAACAGGATATCAAGCTCCATTCCTGTCCTCTCTGTGTCTGTGTGATTTCCCCCTTTGTTAAATAACTGTCTCCCCGTCTCATACATTAGTTCACTCCCTGCCCTCAGCCAGGGCCCCCCAGCCCCTCCACACTCATGCAAACTCACTGAGTCAGTCTTACCTGCTGGCTCAGGCTCTTGGGCACATTGTTGATTTGCTCATTGGTGTTCTAGTGCATCATTTTTGTCTCTGTTTGTATCATATCTCCTTGCGTTTACCTGTTCTGTTTCACAGAGGTGCTCCAAGAGTCCACGCTCAGGTGAGGTTGTACCTAAACCATGTTTCGATTCATAGATACTTTATTTGCCTCCTGCTGCTCATCACTCCTTGTCCCCTCCAACCACCACAGCATGGGCCACCTCTGGATGGAGGTCAAAGCACTAAGGCCGTAGCCACGGTCAAGCAGACACAGGCAGAAAACTGTGAAGCAGGCTCATGAGTAAAACATCCAGGACCAGAGCCAGCAGGAACTGGCAGCAGGTATGTCCAAGGGGTATGGGAAGAAGAAACCCCCCCAGGCAACCCAGAGGATAAAGACCTGTTATTTAAATCCTGAACTTGAAACACTGCAGATGCAAAGACTGAAAATTCTGGGCAATCAGTTACACAAGAGGCAGCCCCACAGCACATTCCAGAATGGGATGAGGCAACAAAGGACAGAACAGTCAACAGGAACAGACCAGTGGAAAAGGAGGAATCTGAGTGTGGTCCAGGAAGGCTTGGAAAGGAGTTTTCACCAGTTCTTGGGGGAAAGAAATTAGAAGTTTATTTCAGAAATTGAAGTTGGGTTTTGCTATTTTCCCCTAGTCCCTTTTCAGTCTTCATAGTGTAGGAGTTAAAGATCCCTCTAAGTCTCAGTGCAGAGCCCATCAGGAGCTGGCAGATCCACCAGGTCAGCCGCACCCCCGGCTGAGAGGCCTCGGCCAGGCCACCTTGTATCTGGTAACCGGCCATGGCTTGTCTTGACATCTCTGGCCAAAGTAACTCTGCCTTTGTCCCAGAGCTGCCCCTCCATCAGTTCCTGCCAAGTCCTGGTTGCCTCAGGCCCACCCCCTTTCATACCTTGCCCACCCCCTACCTGTTCACTCTTTCCTGTCGGCCTTTCCATGAGGATTCAGTGTCTGATGCGCTTCTACCTCCTGCAGCTCTTGCTATTCTTTTCTCTGTATTTTTATGTCTGCATATATGAACCCATTTGTGCTCCATGTTTCTAGATTACCTGGGTAGCAGCATAGGGTTAAGATACAGGCCCTGGGTTCAGAACACCTGGGTTCATCCTTGCTCATCTGACCCTAGGCAAAATCCACAATGTTCTCCCTAGATTTTAATTTCTTTCTCTGCAAGATGGGCAAGTAAGAAACACTAATCTCCAGTGGCAGCCGTGAGCACTAAACCAGCAACTGCCACCGAGCAGATGTTCGTTTAGAGTGAGCTGTTACTATTAATAACACAGCTCTTCTCTTCTGTCTTTGCTTTCCTCTCGTCCCCCCTTTCCTCTCTCAAAGTACTCATGTCCTCTTCTCCACATGTGTACCACTTTCTCTGTGACTCTCTAGATTTCCTTTCTCTGTGAATATTCCTGCTCTTGAACAACATCCCTCTAATTTAAATCAGTCCTTTCTTCTGCCATCACCAAGTGTGATATTGTGATATCATAAGAAACATATATTTTGGTTTTCCTCTGCTCCTGGCCAGAGATCCTAAAACCCTAGTACTATCCTAAGTGTTAAGGTGAAAACAACATCTTTTGTCATTCATAACAAGCCCCTTTCAACTACACCTCGGATTATGTTAATGAGGTGCCTTTTGGAAAATCTCTATGGATGGGGGGCTGGTTGTGGTGGGGGAAGTTAACACATGATTAGAGGATGGGAATTTCAGCCCCTCTCCCTGGCCTTTAGAGAGGGGAGTGGGGAATGGAGCTTGACTTAATCACCTACAGCCCATTATTTTATCAGTCATAACTATATAATGGAATTTCTGTAACAGCCCTAGATGACTGGTTCAGAGCGCTTCTGGGCTGGCAAACAAATGGAAGTGCTGGGAAGGTGGTGCGCCCAGAGAGGGTACGGAAGCTGTGTGCCCCTTCCCCATACGTTGCCCTACGCATCTCTTCAATTTGGCTGTTCTTGAGTTGTATTTTTTATAATAATTTGGCAAACGTGTGTAAATGTTTCCCTGAGTTCCATGAGCTGTGCTAGCCAAGTATCAAACTCAAAGAGGAGGTCATGGGAACCTCTGATTTACAGCCAATTGGTAAGGAGCACAGGCCACAACCTGAGACCTGCGACTGGTGTCTGAAGTGAGAGACAGTCTTGTGAGACTGACCCGTGACATGCACAGTCTGCGCTAACTCTGGTTAGAACTGAATTAACTGACTTGGCATCTGCACAGAACTGGAGAACTGGTTGGCATGGGGAAACCCCCACACATGCGCTGTCAGAGGTGCTGTGAGTGTGAGGGCTCAGACAACTAAGACAGGTGTTTGTCTTTCACCCAGAGTCTTCTCTTTAGTATTGACCATGGGCCACAGTTCTTAGCCCTTCACAGCTTCACAGGGATCTTCTCCTGAGGGATCTGGCTACATCACCATCACTTCCAGGCAGTTAGTCTTGCAATCTAGCTACTGACACACTCACTCCCGTCCCTTCATCCTGGTTATTGGGCCAGAAGTGTCTTGTGACGGCTGCCCCTCCAGGACCCACACCTGGGTGGAAACTCAGACAGACTCCCCTCCCTGCCGTCCCCATGGTCCTTCCTCATTCTTCCCCAATTCACAATCTCCACTCAGCACCTTGGGGCCCCTTTTCCTCTTAGCAGCTGAGAAACTTCTGTCCTGTCGTTATTACCTTGTTCAAGGCTTAGTTGGCTGCTAGGCCCCTCCTCTCTCCCTTCTTCACCAATTTCTTGCAGATACCATTTTTCTGGTAGCACTGAGATAGAGTCAGCAGGAGAGAGAAGGCAATTAGTTATCTCCAACAGAGACTAGCAACAACATCCGTAAATTATACATTTAGGAATTTCCAGCCCTTGTGTCACTCAGAGCTCAGTGGGTCCCACATGACTTAACATTCTCCCATCATCCCCTGGGACAGAAAGAGAAGACCCTGTCAAGGAAGACTTTGTTTCCCACACAGAACAGAGACATTGAATATTTAAGGCTAAAGGAGAAGTGAAACATTGTGAGCCATGTTACTTGCCTAAAAAAATTTTCAGATGGCAGGGAAAGCACATTTCAAAATAACTAATAAAAGTGAAATGTGTTTTCTGAACTGTTCAAATTAAGGAAGAAACGGAGATTTCTGGGGGAGAAGGTCTAGGGTCCTAGAGAGAGCTGAGTATAAAACAGAAAACCTCAACAGCTTTAGTAATGGGGCTAGAAAAGAGGAAAGTTTTGGCTTAACTGTGTCAGGGAGGAGGAGTGATTCCCAAAGAAACATAACAGAGGACATGGGGGCAGCTCACATGGACTTCAGGGTCCAGGAGGAGGCAGTGTCTCCCTGAGGGCAAGGGGGCGACTGTGCTGAGCGAGGCAGTGGGCAGTGCCCTGGACAGTGGTTACCCTTGGTGTGCATCACCCAAGCACAGGGAGCGCCTCTGGGATCAGGGAGGGGGAACTGTAGTCCATGGAGAATATGAGAGCCCCTGGGATGTGAGCAGTAAAGGTAACACCATTCCATGGACACCCACAGCCTGGGGACATCAAATATACTATTGACTTGAAATTTGTGCCCACGTATTTGGTTGCCTTTAATTTCCTCTTCTGATTTGAATGATGTGCTATAAAAAATTATTTGATTCTTAATTAGATAAGGTTGCTGTTGACACAAATCAACAAGCCATATATATATCCTTAAATTTTTTTTCCTTGCTTATAAAACTGTAGTATCCCTTTATTGCCTCTTAAATAAACTTCAAATTCCTTAGCTTTAATTGCCAGACCCTTCGAAATCTTTCTCCAGCTTATTTCTGTTGAATCAGCTTCTACACTGCTTTGCACTCTTGGATTTGGCCAAATCCAGTTTGGTCTGTTTTGCAGGTATGCTCTCACATTTTTATTCCTGTTCCTGTAGCATCCACCCTCCTCAGGGAATGTGTCCGCTTTTCTTGTGATATCTCTGGTCTTATTTGGAGAACTGGGTTGAGATCAAACTGTGTTGGAATAAAAAGTTTTCTAGGTAAGTTGAAAAAATGGAGGGCATCCTCTTTACTGTGTCCCAGTAAAAGAGTAAAATGTGCCTTCTCAGGAAAAAGTCTAGAATCAAACTGTTAGTTTTGTATAGCACCAAAAATAGTCCCTGGCAGATCAATCAGTTTTGTGATTATTTGGTTAATGTTTGCTTCACCCCTTGTGGATAAAGGCAAATTTGACCCAGGGTTTACTTCCTTCTTCATTAATCTGGAAGTCGTGGCCTTTTTGCTCTGTTTCTAGGGAAACACTGGGCTTAGAAAGACCCATAACTGGCATATTGGGAAAGACTAAATATCAACTACAAATAACTGGTGGGAAGCCGTATTTTGGTCTTTCTTCCATGTGGTAACTCTTGTAACCCATCTTATCTATTGGGGGGTCCCTAAAAGCTATGACTGTGGAGTTTGTATAAGGACATTGCCTCCCATGGGCATGTGGTGCTAGGCCAAGGTCGATCCTGCAACCACAGCTAAGCTGTCACTCAAGGCAAGTCACAGTCAACTTGGTGGACTGCTGTGTAGACCACTACAAAGGCTCTCACTTGAAGAGAAGCAACTGATGCTGCCCTGTTGGGATTTTGTGTTGCTTATTCCATGTTCTTCTAAGTAAACCTGATGCCAGTGTAGCTCTGGTTGTCTTGTGAGTCTAAATGTCCAGTTAAGCAGACCTCTAGGTGGTTGTTGTACTGTAACTATCACACCATAGCTTCAAGAAGGCTCATGACATGCCTGTTATGTTAAGTACCATATCCCTACTGCTCAGCACAGTGTGTGGTGGAAAAACAATACATGCTTATGGAAAAAAATTGTCCCTGAACCTCAAAAGGTAGGTAGTAAATCTAATTACCACTCTTGAAGCTTTCACGAATAGGAATTAAACCAGGGTATTCCTTCATGTTGATGTTACTGAACAATATCTTCAGAACTTTTAGGTTAAAGTTCTTCTCCAGCTCACTGAGAACACTGTACACCACTCGTTTTACAGGGACCAGGTTTCTACAAGATTCTTCAAAATCCTTAAAAAATATTGAATGGAAAAAATATAAATACAGATTTCAAAGAGCTTTGGAAAGTAATTTTATGATTAATGTATTCCGATTTCCCTACATAGGTATCTTCTCATGTAATGATTTATAATTTTTATATATTCATATAGCTAATAAATGGAACAAATCAATCCTTCCTCCTTAAAAGTGCTCATTGATGAATCTGATCTCTTCAACCTCATTTACATTAGATATAAAAAGAAGCAGTTTTGAAGGATAAAAGTGTGTTAAAGTTAAAGGACGTGTAGCCCTTTAAGAGCCTGGATGAGATGTTTTAGGAACAGACTTAGCAGGTGATGAGTGGCTGTTCTGTTTGATGGACACTCTCTGCCCTTTCCCCAGGAATGACTTGGCATGAAGGGCTCAGGGAAACCAGGTGACCATTCTTCCCTTGCCATGAACTTGGCCACAGAGAAGGCATACTCATAGGCAAAGGGAATACTTCCTGTTACGTATCTCCAACAGAGCCTATTGGTAAAATTACCCAAATTTAAAAAATTAAAAAAGGGAGAAAAAAAAGAAACCTGAAAGATGTTGGAGAAAGAATAGCAAATATCTACCCCCAAATTTGTCATAACCAGACACTAATTCCTGTGGGTTTTAACGTTCTTAAATCTAGATATTTTAAATTGATATTAACTCAAATAAAACGCCATGCCAATTACCATTTCAGTAAATCAATTTATTAAAATTATTCGTGAATCCATAAAATTATTTTGAATTTTTAGTTTACGTTCTATTGTGTCCCTATAAGACACTGTCCATTTATGGAGTATGTCTATTTCTGACCCAGCTTATTTCCAGGGCCATTCACCCTGACACCAAAGGGTGCCATAGACACCATTCCTTCAGTTAGAAGCAGGATCACCTTTGGTGATTTCTGCTTCTCCTCTCCCCTTCTACCTTACAGGAGCACTTACAGAAATACTTGAAAATATTCCCCACTCATAGAAGACCCCTCAGTCAGCTACTTGTACCCAAAAGTTTGGGTCTAGGATAGCAAAGCTCTATTTAATTTGGAGCTGGTTTACCAGATTATGTCATAATAAACTTTACTTACTGCAAACATTTTTTTTGTGATGAATTCATGGTCACGGAGGTGCTCAAGGAATGGAAATGTCTTTCTTATTGCACATGAAATTTCCACCTTATGTTTTTTGAAGTGACTGAATATAAGGTCATAGATAAGCCTGTCCTCTACATTCTGCTCTTCTGTGGCCATCCTAGGGAAAAGAAGATACCATGTATAAACAGTCATCAAGATTCTGACATATTTTTGGAGGATGTAAGATTTCACATATTAAGGATAGGCTTTGAAGAACCAGCACATATAAAATAGGTGGTCCTGAGTAGAGGCCAGAGTAAATGGAATTGAAGCAACAAAGATGTAATTTTTACATAGGATTTTTTAGTTCTATATATTAGTCTTTCATAGTTATAAAAGACTGATCAAAGCCATTGTAAAGATATCTTCACCTAAACATAACTGGAATATTTTTAAATTAAAAACATCTAAATTCCTACAAAATTAAGATGGAGTAACCAGGTCATCCATAGAAAAATGAAAAACAATGGTATAAAAATAAAATCCAACCTTATAAATGCATCTTAATTATCAACCAAGAAAAAATAAATATCTGAAAGATAAAAAAAGTCAAAAAGATAAAAAAAAAGGCTGTTAAGGGAGAAATAACATCCTACATCATAAACTTAATTCATAAATATTATGTAGTTTAATAATGCTAATGATATGATAAGGCATAAATTGAGAATTACAAAAATATATCAATGATATCTCCTGGGACATGTGTTTCTTCTTTGTGTTAATATAAATTTGTTTGCGCTAGTGTTAATATGGTGAATTTTTTTAGGCATCTGAATTTCAGAAATTGCTGCTGTTTCCTGTTAAATTAATGTTACAACTTAGTCTGTAATTCTGGCTCTTAGTTGATCACTTTATTGCTATGGTAATATTTTAATCAACATCTCTGTATTCCTAAATGCTATGAAAGCTCATCAGCTTCCTTTGTCAAAGCAGAAGGGTATTATCAGCACCTCCCAGTACCCAAAATGCAGCAGGGAATAATAATGCCACATCATTATTTTTTAATTCCTGTAAAAAAAGAGTTTCTGCTTAAAGAATGTAGTATAGGGAGAAGCATATCTTCTCTTTTATTGATGACCCCACTAAAGTGCTAAGAAAGGAATGAGATTCACAATGACAAAGAGAATGTTAGAGAACAATGAGTAGATGAAAAATTTCAACCAGAGTAGAGACTTGCTATTGTAGGTGGAGGATGCTCCCAGAGATCAGGAAAGCAATTAATGCGCCCTGCAGAACTCTGAAAAGGCAGTGGAGATTGAGAGCTAGACACAGGGCTAAAAATTGATGTGTTATTTGAAAAACAAAGGACAGAACAGTGCATCCCTTGCCCGTCAACCCCTATGCAGACTATATACATCCAGGCAGCCTCTCAGGGGCAAACATTGCTGTCATTTCTTTCACCATATGTTAATACTGCCTGTTATTAGTTTTCACATTAAAGGATAACACATAACATATGCTTTTGCATCAGCCATCTTTTGCTCAGCATCCATGTTGCTGCATTGAACAGCAGTTCAGTTCTTTTTTTTAATTTTTGAGTCATATTCCATTTTGTAAATCTACCACAATCTGTTTATTCATATTCTTGTTGGTGCACATTTGGGTCAATTCCAATTTGGGAATAGTATGAATAAAACTGTATAAGTTTTTTTGTGGCAAGATGTTTTCCCATTTTTCTTGGGTAAACACCTAGGAGTGGAATTGCTGGGTCATTGTGTAGTGTATGTTTAACTATTTTAGAACCTACCAAACTGTTTTGCACAGACTATTAGAGATGGTCTTTCTAATTTCAGCTATTGTAGAGTATATGATATGATATTGTATTTTAGTTTTAATTTGTATTTCTTTAATGACTAATGATGTCAACCACATTTTCATGTGCTTACTGGATATATACATGTACGTGTTTGTGTGTGTATGTCTGTTTAAGTCTTTGGCCCATTTATAATATTAAGTTTTCTTTTGCTTATTGATGGGTAGAAGCTTTTTATGTAATATGGATAGGAGTGTTTTGTTTGGCTAATGTATTATAAATATGTTCTTACAGGTCTATGGCTTGCCTTTCCTTTCCTTAAGCATGTTTTTTGATGGGGAGACATTTTTAATTTTGAGAAAGTCCACTCTATTATTTTTTTCTTTTATGGTTAATTGCTTTAGTTACTTACATACTACACTAATAAAAAATTTAGTGTAGTATGTAAGAAATGTTTGCCTACCCAAGGTCATTAAACTATTCCCAAAGCAATTTTCAATATAAACATGAATCTTTTTCTGGACTTTCCATGCTATACCATTGACCTATTTGTCTACACTTACAGTAACATCATTTTGGCTTAAAACTTAGAGTTTAAAGAAAACCTCGAAGTCAATTAGGAAAAATTGTCTTGGTTTTTTTAGGCTCTTTGGTTTTACATATGTTTTCAAATCAATTTGTCAATGTCTACAAGAAAAAACTTTTGGATTTGATAGGGTTTGCACTGAACTTACAGATAAATTTGGAAGGATTAACATCTTAAGAATATTGAGCTTCCAGCCTGTTAACATTGTATATATCTTCATTTGTTTAGTTTTATTTAATTTTGCCTAGCACTGTTTATAGTTTTCACTATGTAAGTCATGCATACCATTCATTAAATGTATTCCTAGATATTTTATTCCTTTTTTGATGCTACTTTAAGTAGTATTGCTTTTTAAATTGCTTGTTAGTGTTATATGGAAATAGAATTGTTTGAAAAATATTAACCACATATTTATGATATTGCTAAATTGTGTATCAGTTCTAGATTTTCTTGGGATTTTATAGAAAATAATCATGTCATCAACAAATAAGAACATTTTAGTGATTATTTTAAGACAATTATTTCTTTTTTTCTTGTCTTATTGCACTAGTTAGGAGTGTAAATACAATGCTGAAGTGGTGAGAAGGGACTGCCTAGCCTTGTTTCCAATTTTAGAGAAAAAGCATTGAGTATCACCATTAAGTAGAATGTTTTATGTACCTGTATATACACACACATATATTATATATACATAAATATACATTTTGAAACAGACTAAGGTAGTTACTACCTATTCCTAATTTGCTTGGAATTTTATCATGAATAGATGTTGAATTTTATCAAGTGTATCTACAGAGATATTCATATAATTTTTCATTTTTATTCTTCAATTGGTAAATCACATTGGTTGATTTCCAGAGCCTTCTCTTAAGTCAGAATAGATACACAAATCAACAGATATTTGAGGAAATACTACAATATTAGAAAGAATAATGTTAAAAAGGGGAAAAAATTACCATAGGAGAAACAGAGATATGGTAGAAATAGGAAAAAAATTCCAAATAGTAACTATTCGAATGTAAAGCTTCAAATTATATGAGCAACCTCACAATGTTGAGTTAACTGGAAAAGGGAAATATGAGTTAAACGATTTGTTTCATGCATGAAACAATATAAGTGAATGATATGGTTTCAGATTCACCTGTGAGAATTACAGAAATATAGACTAAAGAATGAATTTGAAAAGTTGAAAACAACAACTGATTGAGTAAAATTAGACCCTATAAGGACTTACGAAAGACTGAAAATAAAATTAAAAAGCACATAATATAGTTTGCATTTTTAGAGAGAAAAAAGAAAAAAAACAATGAATTATAAAAGATAAAGTTTTTCAAAGGTATGAAAAATTATTTATAACACTAAATGTAAATGAAAAATCAAAATATCAAAAGGCATAAAATCCAACTGAAGGCACAACTAAGACAAAATGACACAAAATCTGTCAAAATCAAAGATAAACATGTTATGGTATACAACTGCAAACAATACACAAAGCAAGGGTGTTCCCATCAATGTCAAATCAAAAGTCAAGAAACAAATAACAGGACGAATGTTTTATTGGTATTGGAAAACCATTCACCTCTAATTTTGGACTCTTTACATAGGCAAAATATATAGGCTCTTGATGAATTAAAATGTTTTTTTTTTTGTTTTGAAACAGAGTCTCACTCTGTTGGCCTGGCTAGAGTGAGTGCCGTGGCATCAGCCTAGCTCACAGCAACCTCAAACTCCTGGGCTCAAGCGATCCTACTGCCTCAGCCTCACAAGTAGCTGGGACTACAGGCATACGCCACCATGCACGGCTAATTTTTTCTATATATATTTTTAGTTGTCCGATTAATTTCTTCCTATTTTTTAGTAGAGACGGGGTCTCGCTCTTGCTCAGGCTGGTCTCGAACTCCTGAGCTCAAACAATCTGCCTGCCTCGTTCTCCCAAAGTGCTAGGATTACAGGCGTGAGCCACCGCGCCCGGCCTTGAATTAAAATGTTTTATTATTTAATCTTGTGACTTAAACACAGAGAACATGCTTTCTCAATATTTTTGAAATATATATCAATAATGAGCATAATCTTGGTCACAAAAGAAATCTCAATAAATTACAATCAGTAGAAGCTAAACACACTATATGTTAAAGAAAATACGTTAACTAGAGATTTTAGAAAACAAAACAGCACATTCTGTCATGTCAAAGATGAAATAAAACTTGCAGCTAGAGATTATTTAAAAACATAATAAAAAAGAGAAAAGTAATGAGAATGAGTAAAACAAAGATGATTCAACATTAGGAAATCTCTCTATAATTTTACATCAATAAATAAAAGGAGAAAAAGTAAATGTATCCACAAATGATTTTAAAAGGGAACTTGATAAGACCGAGGAGCTATTTTTATAACAACTCTATATGAAATAAAAACTAACACAATATAAAGTCTCTAAAACCAGGAAATGCTACAATAAACATGAAAATAATAAAGTCATTGAAATAGAAAAATATACAGGAACGTCTACCATTATGACCATTTTATATATATATATATATATATATATGAAACATTAGCTAATGCAATAGGATACAAAAATGAAATAATTGGTATAAATACTAAAATAGTATACATTATATGGTCTATGATTATATACATAGAAACAGTAGAGAACTAATAAAATCCATAAGAACCAGAAAAAGAAGTTGCCAAGAAATATTGATAAAAATAGATGTATGAAACATGGAGATTTCATTTGAAAAAACATAAATTGAAAAAAAATAAAATCT